CCTCCCAGCAGAGCTGCAGGAAAGCCGTGTGCGCCGGGGAGATCTTTCCGACGTTGCCCTGCGCAACGCGTAGCATCCGTGGGGTCGCCGCTCTCGGCTTACGTCTCCGAGTCGAGTTCGAGGTGGGTGTAGGCATTCGCGACGTTGTAGTTTGGCTTCTGTGCTGCCCGTTGGCTCCTGCTTGGCATGGGTAGCACGGGACGGTCGATGGAGGTGTTGTCGGGGGAGTCTTCGCCTTCGCCTTCGTCCGCCTCGTCTTCATCCATGCTGCTGCTGTCAGTGCTTCCGTCACCGAGGCAAACGATCGAGCTTGCGGAGGGCGTTCTCGTGCGCGCGCGCTTGGCGCCGGGTTGCTGGTTCTGGCTGGTGGAGGTAGGGACGCCTGCCGCCTCCTGGCTACTGTCGGATCGAGTAGCCTTGTACAGAGTGTCCGATGCTTTCTGGCCGGCCTTCCGGATCCGAGCCCGCTCCTTTCGACCGGGAAGGGAGACGACGCCGTTTACGACCGAGGGCCTCGCTGGGCAGTCTGTGTGGCCGGCTTGGAAGGGGCCGCAGCAGTTGGGACACTGGGGCCTGGCCATGCAAGGTCCCGTTTCGTGTGAGTCGGAAGGTCTTCCGCAGTTGCTGCAAGTCGGTCGTCGTCCGCAGAACCGGTTGGCGTGGTAGCCCTGGCAGCCGGGGTCATGTCGGATGAGCGTCCTTCGTTTTTTGATGGGCAGAGATCTGCCGCTTTGGTTGAAGAGCCTGAAGGGCGTGACCTCTGATGTGAATGATATGAGCCAAGATATTTCGTTCGTGACTGGGTTGGGCCCAAGGCGGGACGGTCGAGCAAGGACAGGCTTCTGTCCTGTCTGTGCGAAGACCTCATCTTCAACGAGTGTGGCTGGGTCCAGGACGTCCCCGCCAATGCTGTGTAGTTTTGTTGGGCATCGCGGCACAACGTATGTGTGCCACTTGATAGGCGTCTCGACTTGGTGGGCGCCGAGGCATTCCGCCAGCTTTGCCTTACTTGTAAGTAGTCTTTCCTGTATTTGCTTGTTTCGCGGCTTCAGAGAGTAACCTGTGCTGATATGGTAGACGTGGGGAAGGTCCGCTAGCCCCAGGCCAACGGCCTTACAGACGATCTGTCGTACGGCGAACGGTGCGATCTTCCGAGCGGCCGCTAAGCTTTCTTCCGGGACGCGGGCAAAGATGCGGAGGTCCTCCTTCGGCTGCGCCTGCGGCTGATCCTCGGCGGGGAGTGTGGCCTTCGGGCGGGCAGAGCTCTGGCAGCTCTGGCCGCTCCGGGTCGCCGCAGTGGTGTTGCCCGCCATCGGTGCGACGACAGCCGCCCAACTCCGGGCCGCTATTGGGCTTGTCTCGTGATTGATCAGTCTCTTGAGGGTTTGAATGACATAGGCAGTGGCTTCTTTCGCGATCTGCTTTCTAGAACCGTCAAAGCTGGCGACAACGCTGTCGACGGACCGTGCAATGGTCAGAAAGACGTCTTTCCGTGCCTCGTACTGTCTAGCTTCTTCTGCAAGGGCTGTCAAGACGGACCCTGTGGCAGATCCGCTCGGAGCAGATGCGGTAGAGGCTGCGGGCCCCTCGGCCGAGGTAGGGGCGTCGGTGGTGGCATCAAGCTGGCTTCCCGTTAGGCTGGGCCGGGTCGGCTGTGCCTCGGCGTCGCGGCGTCGCTTAGCTCTTGAGGTGGGGTTCGGCTCCGGAGGTGTCCCGGAGCCTGGTTCGGGGTCGGCTTGGTCGGCCGACATCAGTCCGGTGCCCGACGGCGGCTGTGAGGCCATCGCGGATGCGGGCTCCGGCAAGGGGAGGTGAAGAGTTTTCGGCTGTTAGTAATTTGGTGGTAGGCTCACTCATTCACTAACAGCAGATGCCAAGAAAAATTAGGCGAGAGGGAAGTTGACCACCACCTTTTGGTTCACAACGGGCTCATGTATCCTTTAGTGATAGGCAGCCTCGAAGTCCCCATTTTAAATACTCATCCAGAGTGGAAGCAGGTTTTCGACGATGTGCGGTCATCGTTCTTGAGGAAAGACTCATTTCGGCTCATAAATATGGTTGACGAGGTCCTCGAAGAAGCATTCAGGGAGGGAACTGATACATTTAACATAGAAGAAGCTGCCAAGGCTCGAGGTGTTGAGATTGCGGTGTTTTAATCTGTCGATGATCGTGGTGTGGGAATAGGAAGCAAACTGCTCAAACGCCTGAGTTCGCCGTGATGAACTTTGCTACTCTACACTCGCAGTTTCGCAGTGACTATACCTTTCGCTTTTCGTCCACCCGTCTGACACATCAAGGCTGGAGCTAGGTGGTATGATGGGCGCAGTAGACAAGATATCCTGGAAAGATAGGTGGAACATAGGTAATGCATCCACGTGTTTGCCTCTTGCCACCCCTTTCTTCTTGGAAGACTCGAGCTCTACAAAGACACGATCGTTGACGCAGTTCCCTCCCCGTTAAGATGATATGATTGCCTGAGCGATGATGAGTAGTGATAACAAGAAGATCAGGCCGATGCACTCGGATATCTCAAAGTGCCTTCCGATAGAAACGAGTTGGATTCGAGGTCTACGTTGGAGGCGAATAGGGTAGGCCTCAAGGTTAGTTTGGTGATTCATATTGAGAAAGGGTTTGTTGATTATGTAAGTGCTGTAGGTACCCATACCCCGATGAGATTAGCAGTCTCCGAGAACGGCGTATATCGTGCCGTCCGCAAGAACAAGTCTGACTCAAGACTTCACTTTTCCGACCGTGGATGAACGAAGTACCCAGGTATGTGATGTCGCGACTCGGTTTGCCTCCTCCCAAAGCCACTCGTGTTGTTAATCGTAGTCTCAAGAAGTTGATGAGCACTAGTAACATTAGATTTACGAATGATGACTTCCGGCATCTGATTAGTGAAACCACGATATTGTAAGTACATCGAGTAACGCAAAACAAATCTTAATTTCCAAGATAACAGGGGACTCATGGTTGAAATCCTTGAAGTAGGTCTTATTCAATCTTCATACTTCGATCAGCCTGAGGTATATAGGAAAGGCAATGTTATACGTAGTTTCTTGAACATATATCGATTAACGTGGATCTTGAATGCTGCAGGCCTGCTTATATGTACTTGGGCCTATTTACTTTACTCCGCTAAAGGTTAGATTTGCTACAAATCTTCCCTAAAGTAATAGAGCGAAGTAGTTAGAGATCCACGAGAAATTTTTGTTTGGGTCAACGGCTCCAAGCTGGCTCTCATCTTGTGATTAGAAAAGTCCATTGCCGTAAGTCGGGATTGGCACTACTTACTTTTGTCGCCAGCTCGCAGCCAAGACCAGTGTAGATTACCATCTCATTTAGACACGCACAGCGTATGAAAATACAAATGCATCCTATATGCAATATCAGAGTTGGACATCAAGGGATTCTGGCCTTTTGCGGAAACTCTGCTTCACGCGAGTCCTATGTATGCGCTGGCGATTTCATTTCGTCCCCTTGTCCAGCAACGAATATTGTTTTCAGCATGTAAACTCCATCTCTCCCTTGGAAATGAAAGTCAGAACCGGTGCAGGTTTGATTCATCATCATCATTATCTTAGTCGAGACCTTGTTTCTTGACTTTCCTCGTCGCTTTTGAGCAGGCGATAGATGGGATCGTCGTTCTATCTGTTCGGATCTTCAGGGAGCCTTCCAATACGGCGAGAAATCCTCGCAAATATAGCACACGCACGTTCCAAGAGGCTCAGAAACTACGAAAACCAAGTGTTTCACCGCATGTATCGATACAATCTCAATTAGATTTAATGTGAGCCACATGTGCGAAAGTACATCGATAAGTCTGACTAGCGGCACACTGTGTGCTCACAGCGCTACGACTATGATTTTTATACTCATTAGTACTTCACCCTGGAGGTGAGCGATGGCGCAGTCGGACAGTCCTGAAGGCTGCGAGGATCTTGCGAGGGAGAGTTCAATATCAGCTCATGCAGATCAACGAAACTGAGACCTGCCTGCCTATTATTCAATAGCAAAGCCTTCGCTCGCCGTTTGCAAGACTGGCTTCGTCGATCATTTTGGCGTACTGGCAACTGCATGCCGCACTCCAGCTTGGCGGTCGGTTACTGCAGGGAGAAGTTCTGAGTAGTTCGGTGTTGCGTTTTAGTGTAAGGCAGGTGGAGAGTTATGAATCCAATGGGCATCATCAATCACACACCGTTGGTCAGAACTGTGGCTAAACATAAGATTATGGGAGCACTAGGAATGATCAATCGAAATAAAGGTAGATCAGCGGGGGCGGCATGCTTCTGGGGCGATGAAGTCTCGGGGCAATCGGAGTTCCGAAAGCAGATTAGAACGTGGAGTCGTGCCTTGTTTAGGTTAATTAGCCCCGGCAGATAGCGCTCGTATTAATATCGAGGTTACATAACCTGCGTCATGTGCCTGGAATTCAAGTCCATTGCCCCAGAAATGAGAATGCATGCGACCCTGAATACGAGAATCTTGCCTTGATGGATTGGAGGATTTATTGTGTAGTGGTCTTGCGAGCCATCATTCCACCGAATGGGAGCTCAAAGGAAGGAGTATCCAGCGGATGCGTATGCTTCTAAGCCACGTATGACAGACGGCTTGAGCTGACTGAACCGCGAAGCGTATAGGCAACTACCTTGAGCGATCAAAGTGACCGGTAGGCAGGTTATTATGACCGCATAGAAACTTTTTGGCTGGATTATGACACATTGCTGGTTCACATCCGCACTAAGCTGCTGCCACGATGGATCATGAAATGGGGATTGAAGGCAGTGACGGGGAACTAAGCGAGAGTCCAAGGTCCATCGGCGCAGGGAGAGGCAATACGATGGCAACGTCACTTTCTCAATCATTTGAGTACCCACGAGCTTGTTGTCATACCATTGATCTATGCTCATTTGCTCCAGTAATGCATCCCTGACTCTTGACTGGTATAAATCTGCTCGTCCTCCGCCACTCCGGACGGCATATCAATTCAAAGACATCACGTCGTCCAATACAAGCAGACAGATACAATCAATCACTCTCATCTCAATTCAATATACGACTCAAATCGTTTCCTCAAGACCTCGCCATCATGCAGATCACCAACCTCTTCCTCACCGCCCTGACTGCTGCCAATGCCGTCTCCGGCTCCCCCGTTATGAAGCGTGAGGTCAAGTCAATGATGGCCGCGGGTGTCGCGGAATGGACTATTGAAGCCTTTACCCGTACCTGCAATGCCGAGGATACCTCTTGCGACTACAGCTTCAACATCAACACCCACATCGCAGATCCCACGGCCTGCAAATTCACAACTACCGGCGCACCTGCAAGCCGTGCTGCCTCAAACGCCAAATGTGGAGCTTTCACTGTTACGTCCGGCTGGAGCGGACAGTTCGGTCCGGATGCGGGATTCACAACCTTCTCTGTCACGGACCAGAAGCTTATTGTTTGGCCCGCCTACACCGACAAGCAGCTGGTCAACGGCCAGGCGGTAAACCCCGACCAAAGCTACGCTCCCCAAAACTTGCCTTGAGCGGGCCACCATGATATTCAACGGAATTTATAGCGGAAGTACTATGCCCTAGAGCATCAGAGTACAGGATATGTCAATGTTATAGTACTTCAATGTTTTAACCCGTCGTATTTGATGTCTCGAAGCTCTAATTCGTGAGTGCATACGTAACTTTCACCTCAAGCTTTTGTAGGCCTCATTGTGCATCAGCGACTGCCATCGACGAATAAAATTGAATCGCCCACCACACAAACCTAGTTAAAGCAAGTTGCAAATTAATGACATAGAGTTTAGGTGTAACCCATGTTGAAGTTTGCGAAGATTCTATCTTTGGTACGTTATCTTGTCAATCCTAATGAAATATCAATAGTACAAGTCTCCGCTGTCGCCAGTTGCATGACCATCACCGAACGATATCACGCAGGCCGTATTAACAATTTAACAGCAGTTATCATCTGATGAACGTCCCAAGCGATATTCGAACGCCCACGATCACAGCCCCCCCCCCCCCCGAGCCCCCATATCTCCCTTGTCTGGATATTCCAATACTGTCGGTAAAATAGTACTTACTTCATAGAACCTTGGTGGAGGTGTACATTCGGCGGCCCGCCTGCGGGCCTTGTGGAAGGTGAATTTAATCGGTTGCGAAGTTAAGTAACGAATGCTCCCGCTTCACTGGCAAAGCTCATTAATTGCCTGACCTTATAAAGGGATATTGTATCCGTTCGTGATGGAATAGATCTCCTTTTCTTTCCTTCTCACTCAAACCAAGTTCAAGATGGCTCGAGCTCGTATAAACATTATGGACGACCTTGGCTGGGCTCGTGCCAAGTCATTGGTTGCCAAAAAACGCGCCAAAAGATGTGAAGTTGATACAAAACTTGGTTGCCACGTTCCAACTGGATGTCGCACCCGAGATGGTTACGCTCAGGTCAGCTTCCAAGAAGTCTGTCCTAACTTCAAACCATTAATCGTACTCCTATTATAGATATGGACAAAGAGCAATGCCAAAGCGAAAAAAGGCCTCACTGGCAGGAAAGCTTCGAGAGCGTACCTACTTCACATCGTCGCCTACGCGCAATTTCACAAGCGAAACCCAAAGGATCACGTATCACATCTGTGTGACAATCCCGCTTGTTTCAATCCTACACATCTAGTCGATGAAACGGCAAGCAACAATAATAGTCGGAAAGGTTGCCCAGGTCCAATCTATTGTTCTGACCACGACTGTTTGATTGTGAACCTCTGCAACCATACCCCTCCTTGTATTCGACCTCCACCGCCAAGATGTGCAGTGCTGTTTGTCGCACAAGGAATCTTAGGGATAGAGGATTCTATAGAGCGTAAATCGGGCGCCGTGATTGTGTCGGGTTTGAATCTCATTACTTGACCATGGACACTGCTTCAACATGACTGCTGGAGGTATCCAGGCATTATGTTGTAATTCCACCACCTGCCCAGGTGTTCATCAAGAGTACATGTATGATTATTCCATCGGTATGCCATTGTCAATGGCTTGGGTGGTACTGATGTAACCACTGACTGTTACTGTTGGTATCCCAATCACAGGACAGTTGGTTCGAACCGTGGGTTGACGAAGAGGTCAATTGATCTATATGAGCCTCTGCGTAAGGTGTAAAAAGGAGGTTCCAACCGTAGGTTAGGTAGGCCGCGATTATCGTAAGTATGGTCGCCCGTGCGCCGGCCCCTTGCCTCGAGGTCGAATTGGATTTCTAATCCGACAGTCACACTACCAACTGTAATTTACAATATTCAAGGCGGAATTAATCACGAGCAATTGGGTCATTACGATCGCGAGCGTGGTGAACAATATAAACGTCCGTGCCATGCGAGAAAGCTCTGGCCCTAGAGGAGCTAGTTCAATCTCTAAACATAGATGCGAAGACTTAAGGAGACTCCTAGTATTGCAAGCAAGGTGTTTAATACTCAAGCAGAAAGTAATAATATTCTTGCCATTGGCGACGGGCTTGAAGACCCTTCGCATCTCATTTAACGTTTACTAGGCGGACAAATAGACTGGAGAAAATGTCGACAAAAGTCGTTTGACAATCCTTCCAGAAAATACTTTTACTTTGAGAGCCCGAGGGGTACTTCACGACCTGATCATAAAGTCAATTAGCTAAATATTCTTGAACTTTAGTGGCAACCATGATCCGACTTACCCATAGCGAACAGGCTTGGGTATGCTGTACGTCCCTTGTTACTTAATAATGGACAGATTCCAAAAACTCGATCGCAGGCTCAGCTACAGGTTCTGCCTCCTTCTTGTAATGGACTGATTCGAGGAATGAAATGGATGGCTTGGCGTCTGCCTTGGGAGAGCGCTTGTAGTGAACAGACTCCAAAGGTTTGATTGCAGGTTCGGCCGCAGCTTCGGCTTCGGGGGTTCTCTTATAGTGAACAGAGTCAAGGAACTCAATAGCAGGAGCCGGCTCTGCAGCAGCGTTGGCGGATTTCTTGTAATGCGTAGACTCGAGGAAAGAAATACTGGCTTCGCGTTTCTCTTCGTTCATAACACCGGCAGGGGCAGCAACAATCAAAGAGGCTCCTCCGAGGAGCAGAACGTTGGAAAATCTCATTGTGTTTCTGTTTTAGTGGGAGACTGAAGTTGATTCTTTGAAAAAGTCTTTGGAAATGGAAAGGCAGTGCCTTTAAATAGCCGTTTCCATAAGGTGAACAACAGTGAATTCATCCTGCTGCTATCGGCGCACTTATCTCAAGTAACCGAGCCAAGGCGTGGGATGAACGCGATGTCCATCACGTTGTCACTGCAGCTAATCCAGGCCTGGGAAGGCGCAGGCTTCATCCACGCCATAGTACATGGAAACTTCTCTGACTCCCCACGTCAATCTGGCACATGGCGCGAAGTCACTAATTACTTCACGTACATCGACATGGGTTATCCCACATGAGTTGGAACTTCTGCTGCGGAGCCTACAGGGGTCAGAACGGTGGTGAGTTCGCAAATGGATTTAATCTGAGTAATGGAAGGAAATAGAGTAACCACGTTGACTTTGGTGCCTGCCGACATGCGAAGCTCGGTGATGGACTGGGCTGCACAGAGAAGTCTCAAGTAACTTAGTATGGCGACTTGAGCCAGCAGCTTGAATAAGCATAAGCGAAAGACATTGCTTGCTCAGAATATAGGATTCGGAATCTATGCTGACCTTATTGGTTGGCTTGGTGGTAGAGACTGATTCATCTGGATGTTTCCTATTAGAGAAACAAGCTTTTGGGGCCCGTATTAGCTGCTGCGCAGTTTCAAGGAAACCTGGTCAGTTGCGCATTCGAACAGACAAAGTCGTGTCGATGGAAGAAAATAAGCTTTCTAGATCCGACTGACTAGACGAATGCAGAAGGTCGATTAGTCGGTGTCGAAAACTGACTCATTGTATCCTGTGCAGCTGTCGGGCCTGAATGATGTCTTCCTTATCATGAACTCCCCTTGTCTCAGAGATAGGGAAATCCACCCTGTCCGATGGCGAGTCATATTTGCAAGGAGCCCCTCGTCTGTCGCTTCATATCACTGAAAACTAACTAACGATCAGCTCTCGGATTTTGAACAACCACAGGGCTTAAGAGAGCATCCTGACAGTCGATATTTACAATTCTCTTCACATTGTCACTCTTCTTGGAAATCAGCGCCAATGGTGTTCAGTAAGACAGGACAGTCTCGCCACGGACGAGGCCTCCAAGCGGAAGAAGCATTCTTCTTGGATGATGATAACATGCAACTGCCCGCTAAAAAATGCAAAACTTCATTCGAAAACCTGTCTTTTTCTTTCTTTTGGATAAGCTGTGTATTTCTTGGGCTCTCGACTTGGCTCCACCTCAACCCAGCAGGACCATCGGATTTGGAGTGCGCCAGAAAGCTTAATGTTTTGTGTGAGTCCAGCATCACACCTCTTAAAAACGATTGATAGAGCCCCAGACTCATGAGATATACAGCACCCGTTCAAGATATTTTGGAATACGAAGATGTGCAGTTTGACAATGCATTTTGGAAGACCAGCCCTTATAAGGGAAGGCCGACTCCAGAGTTGGAAGCAAAATGGAAGGGCCTGTGGTATTGTAAGTTGCACGAACGACCCCTAGTTCATTTTAATGGCAGCTACTGATCTAGATTGGTCTTAGATGGATCATTTGACTTATCGGATGAATACTTACCAGCATTGAACAAGACATCACATGGTACCGGCGGTGACCCCTGGGCACGCACAAAGCCAGGCTATCTTTTGGCTGGCCTCGAGGTTTTCCACAACCTTCATTGCTTGAATCTCGTACGTCAATTTGTTCACAGATCCGAATTCGATTATAGCGACGATCCGGCATTTCACGGTGGAGAGGATCTTGTCCTTGCCGTAAGCGTTCCCCAAGTCCAAAACTTTGCATTGAGTGACTTGACTGGATTAATTCACTGGTTTGCTCCCGAAGCTGACTTCTACAGCATGTTGATCATTGTATCGAGGCATTGCGTATACGACTGCAGTGCTCGGCTGATGTAACCCCGTTCTTACACACAAATGGCTCTCGGGGCATTCAGCCGGACTTCAACTCTCAGCATAGATGCCCCAAGTATGATCGCATCATTGAATGGGCAAAACAGCGCCAGATCATGGTGGATACTCCGAAGCAACATGCAGGTCACTGAGTACCTTAGTCACCACATGCGGTGCTGGAATTTTGTGTTTCAAAAGTAGGAAACAGATGATTCAACTTTCATTTTAGTCATTCTTCTGGAAGCGGATGTCGGACGACTGAGTTAAATCGTCAAATTTCAGCGGAACGAGTAAAGGACAGGATCAATGTTGGGCGATGTTTTTCGGCCCTCGGCACAGCTTACGAAGCTGTCAAAGGCGCTCAAGGGGCTCATTCTATGCGCCCAGGCAAGATTGTCAAAGACAGTATTTGAGGCTATACCTTCGTATGTGTTCGATCTGGACACATTTGTTCCCATGCTCAACGCTCGGTCAATTGAATATTTATGCTTGAAGACTGCTAAACTTCGACATTTGTCGCTGGAAAGATTCGTTCCCCCGTCGACCTAATTTGAACAGTCTTTGCTGTTCAAAGAAAATGCAATGACTCCCATTTCCTGATTTATCGGTTCCAGATCCGAGCCATACTTACTCGGGGCAACTTATGAGCCCATGAAGCAAGGGGTGACTTGTTTCAAAGCGCAATGTCGTGTCGCTTTTACTATTTGACGGTCAGGCTCCTCGTGACTGGCCACTCTTTGTGATTTTCGTGCGTGTACTTCTCGTCGTAGACCACGGGTACTTTAGTATAAACCAACAAGGATGTCACCACGGACGCGGGCAGTCAAGTGAACCTCGGCTTCCAAATCCAGCTTGATGCCAACCATCAGAGCAGCCTTGGTCAACTTCCCGTTCTCATCGACAGGGCCTCTGAGCAGGTTACCTGAAGTCGTATTAGCAAAAGAGGAAACTTGAGCCGCGTATAGAAATCATTGGCATACCAACAGGGCCATTTGCGGTGCCAGACAGGTTGGGCATGGGGACAGGGAGGCCTGGTGCGGGCATGTTTCCCCTCATCCCTGTGTTGGCTGGTGGGTAGGACGTGGGATAGGCAGGCGCACGAGACTGCTCTTCCGCGGGGGTCTTTGCTCTAGATGACAGTGAAGATTAGACGTCGAACCTAACAAAACGGAGCGAATGTTGAAGCTTACGGGGAAGACATTGTGGTTAGATATCTGACAACTTGATCTTGCAATGAATGCTGGAGCTCCTCAGGTGAGCTTGTTTCGTCTACTGGTTCGGAGTTGAGTAGTCCACGTTCTTTCAGAAATTGCTCTGAAAGTGATTTGATCGAAAGTGTTGGGCTGGTGGCTTGCGGTTCTTTCGGGGCCTCTGCGGTCGGTTTCTCCCCTATCGATGAAAGAGAGCCTCGTTTTGGGTTATGGCGTTGATGGCTGGGATCGTCAGATTGGTGTTCCTGTGGTAGTGACTGAGCACGAGAGCGGTTGGCTGATGAAAGGTTGTCGGTTGCGACTCGAATGGGGATCTTGAAAGAGAGGGATCTTCTGAGGGCTCCTGGCACAGCAGAGTAATCCTCGGATGGCTTGACCGAGGGTTCTATAGGGACAGCGACAGCAGATATCCGCTTTGACGAGGTGCTTGAGGATCGCGACGCGTGATTTGGCCTTCGTGGAACAGGTGGTGGTTGCTGCTGTTTGGCGTCAAATTTTGCTGATGTTGTGGCGATGGGGGAACCTGTTCCCGCTGGCTTCTTTTCAGTGATTGACGTGGTGCTCTGTGATTTGGATTCAGATGTGGCTTGGTTGGCCATGATGGAGGGGGAGCATGGTGAGCTTTAAGCTTCGATCCCGAACTCGGCTGACAGAGCCCGGTATAATTACTTGATGCTATCCTCCTTCCCCATCTATGCCTCTGGGATCATATTTGCTACAGAACCAACGATCAACTTGGTAGCAAACTGACATCGTCTGATGTTGAAACCAGCCGCTCGGATCGTATCTTGCGTCGTGTTTTGTCGGCCTTGGCCAGAACGCGTCGGTCGGCGCGGTTCGCTCATGCGGAATGGCACTCTTGTTTCCAGAACATCTGAAAAATGGTTCGCATGGTACGATATGGGTGAGTCGATAGAACGTTTGTGGGTTGCATTGGGGTTCGCCTGTGTCTCAGGATGTCCTCATGGGAGCTTTGACAAGGGTCCTGCAGCTACCGGACCCTGGTCAGGGCCCTTGTGCCGGGGAGTTTCAACAACATTAATCAGAGACCACCAGGCACTATCGAAGATCTGCAGCATGGGCATTGTATCTGACATCTCTTCAAAAGGCATAGAATGCCGTCTTCTGTCAGAAGCTGCTAGGAAGCTCCACAGGCATCAGCCGATGATCCCCAATCCTTTTTCTAACGTCTCTTCTGATCTTTCGAGGTTTCGAAGTCTGAAACACTCCAAGCATTATTCTGACTTATGAGGTTGAATCGAATGATTTTCCGAGACTATCGCTACCACGCTGTCCTCAACAGCCTGAAATGAGCGGCAAAACGATTGCCTTATCATCCACTCACCCGTGTGAAAGAGACAGATCGCCAGGACTACTGGAGGGAAGAGTCGCATCTCGTTGACGAAATCCTTCATGTCCTCGTTACGTGGACTCAGATATCCCGCTGCAAACCATCTCTCAACTGTCCACAGAGCTCTGAGTAGCACTATTCTCTTCCACACAGCCTTAGCAATTGCAAAGGGAGATGGCTCTCTCACTACTTATCAGCTTCGCCACTGCTGTGGGCGCCTCTGAAGGCATTAAGGCTTCCATGGCCAGATCGCGTCGAGAAGAGCATCGAAGTCGAAAGAACAACCTTATATTGCACTGTCCCAAGTCGTCACAGTTCAGCCCTTACCTCGAAGGACGTCAAGTCGTCCTTTCTGGCGATAGAGTAAGCTTTCTCCATCTTCTTGCGTATCAGAACCCAATAATAATTGAACAGCTATTTGTGGACACCGGCACAGCTCATGATGTTCCTTTTGGTCACCCGTTCGAGGGCTATTATCTTCCTTACCCGGACTCACGCTTCTCGGGGCTAGTGAGCACTATTACCCATGAGGCACCTATCATGAATTGGATATTCGTCGATCCCGTCACATATCAAGTCCGCTTTGGCAACCGTGCCATTGCCGATGGTAATGTGACTGGGCCGTGGGAATGT